GTCTCCCAATGGTTTCATAATTACTTATGACTCTTTTGAAAGATCTGCAAAATGCTTTCTGAAAGTATTTAAAATGATTCTAGTTAATGTTTAAAGACTGCATCTGCTATACTGTTAATAAATTTATGTTAAGCCATCCAACACTGAAATTAAAAAAAATCAATAATATGCTATCTATGTGGCATAAGGCATAAAAATAAATACAGAAGTCTCAATCAGAAGACAATTGTAGATTGCTTTTATGACATAATAATAATAATAATAATAATAATAATAATAATAATAATAATAATAATAATAATAATAGGAACCTTTATAAGAAATTCTGAAAAATGTGTTATTTAGATTCCTAAGGAATGATCTGTATTAGTGCAATATTCTGTCCACAAAATGTCTTGTGTTCCCAGCATTTTAGTTAGAATCTTCACCTCAGTTTTCTAAATCTTCTGCTGTAGCAGAGATAACAGCTATTAGTACTGAGAAAGTGCAAGGACACATGCTTCTTCTGCTACAAAGAAAGATATGATCAGAAATGCAGTTGCTTCTTTGCCAGTGCCTCTGCCAGTTCCAGAGACCTAAGAGATACTGTTCATTTCAGGAATAAAATCTTTCCCTTTCAATTCACACCCTGCCTAAAACACAAGAGAAATGGTAGAGGATAAAGGGGTTAGGAAACCTTGGAATGAGCAATTAAGATTCCTGCCATCAAGTCAGAAGGATAAGTTGTTCTCTCTTAGCCAAAAGTGAAGAATAATGATGACTACTAAAAGAACAGAGTGCAGTCACACTCCATTGCTGTCAATGTTGAGCTAAGTAAACCTTTGGATACCCTCATGTATTATGAATGACTGGAATGTAAGCCATTGTTCATGCAAGCAATATCTGGTTACTCAAAGATTCAGCGCATACCACTCTGAATTGCGTTTTTTTTTTAAAAAAGACCCCTGCATTTAAAATAAAATTCTGGAAAAGGGAAAAAGGTCAAAGGTTCCAGAGCAAAGTTAAAATACAGACAGCAGGTGCAACATTCGGATATGATGTCAATGAGAAAATACCCATACTTTGCTAAAAACTAGCTTGAGATTCTCCTGAATCTGAATACAATCATCATATTGATACTGTGAAATAAAGCTTCAGGGTTTGGCTTTAGTAAAACTCATGTCATTAATTATTTGCTTCCATTTCTGAGGTGAAATGTAATATATACTACTAAAGGAATTGGAAGCAATTCGCATATATATATACATTCGAATCCGAGTAAGGATATGGCTAGCCGATGAGAGCTAAATAGCTTGAAATAGATCTATACTAGTCTCCCTTTATTTCTTTATCAGCGAAATATAAATTTTGTGTGTGTGTGTGTGTGTGTGTGTGTGTGTGTGTGTGTACCTACAGTAGTAGATGTGAGCCTATTTGGAGGAGCAAACTAAAGACATAATAACATAGCAGCAGGACTACTTTTATTGTTACAGAATCTTGCAAGTCTGAACGTGATTCCTTCCCTCCCTCCCTCCCTTTATCTTCATCTGAACTGGGGAGGGGCCTGACTGACACATTTAATCAAATTAGTTTCTTGAAATGGGTTCAAGCCCAAATTTTTCTCCTATCCTTCAAGGCTTTTCCCTATTCCCTCTGTACTAGAATAACTGAAAATGTCAAAAAAAATGATAGGTTAGAAAAACTAGTAAAATAGGTACTAAAGATCCATCTACCTCAGGTAACTTGGTGCCAACAAAACATTTCTATTAATGGATTGTAGGAATTGAAAGTATCTGGAAGGCATCAGGTTGTTTTAATCATCTTTGGTAGATACTCTCTAAACTTTTTGTTAACCATTTTCTGTGGCCAATAACTTTTTACTAATTTCCAATTGACATGAGTCATATTGTTCCTTTATATCTTCATCTTTGGTATAAGTAAAATTTCATTGTTGTAGGTTTATAAGTCATAAGAAACTTTTATAAACCATAAGATAGAATATGGTAGAAGAACTGAAGATAAACAATGTTGAAATGAATGTTATTGTACCGAGGATTCTATATTCTTCTGAGTTCAAAATAGCACTGTCAATGAAAATAATACCCAACCACCTTAAGTTGAAATAATATGACTGCATCAGTGGTGGATTGCTACCTAGTTCAGGTGAATTGGTAGCGGCGGTGGCGGGAGGCTCCACCCACCCACGCAGACGTCATCAAAAATGCTCTGCGCATGCACAGAACCTTCTGCGCATGTGCAGAAGCACCACACGTTCGCAAAGCGAGCGCATGCACCCACACGCTCCCAATAGTGAACTGGTAGCATTGGGATTTGAATCCATTACTGGACTGCATGTCTTGAGACAAATAATTAAGAGCTACAACAAATACATGAACCTCTTTCACATCTATTGTTTTGAATTACTTGTGTTGTGGCAGTAGAAGATAAATTGTGATAGACTGGAAGATCTGAGTGATTTGCAAAGGGTTTCAGTTCCTAATTATTTTAATAATAATGACTGACCTCCTTCTCCCAAACTGTTCTGTTTAAATGATAAAAGTTTTGGTGAGAGCAATTGGAATTGAATTTAGACATACAGCAACTTTATTTTAGTTTTGCTAATTCGAAATATAATTTGGACTCGGGATTCTGTAAATCTGAGAGCATGTCTTCTACTAGATAAGGGCCAATGCACCCCAAGATTCTTAATATAAAAACAAAATAATGATCATAAGCTTACTTATGTTTTATGCTGTTAAGGAGATGAACTGAGCAACAGCTGCAAATCACCTAGAGTGCTGTCCGGGAATGGTTGGTGCTGATACATTCAGGCAGCAGAACTGATGCTTCATATTCTTTGCCTATCTATTCCCACTGTTCAAAAATAGAAAGAGGAGGCTGCTCCCTTTGACAGTGAATTAAGAAAACATTTAGTAATAACATGTAGGAGGGCTTATTCCACCTTTTCTTTCTACAAAAAAGGTTAGTCTTTCTGTTTTTTTTTTTAAAAATTAACTGGAAATCTTTATCCAAGTATTCATTTTTAAATGTGGTGAACTAGGTCTTTTCAACTTAAAAATATTCCTGGCCATTTAAAGAGTATTTTGAATCACTTAGGGAGAGCATGATTGACTTTTCTGCTTTAACAATGAGTACATGAACACTGAGATAACTGTAGTGTTCGGTAGATTAGCACAATACTTGAGTAAGTCTTCAGTGAGTTGCAAACTTCAATTGATCACTTCAGTAAAAAAAAAAAAATCCACTAACAGATAAACTAATGCAAAATGCACAGGTTTCAGCAACATAACTTTATTTCAGGACACAGACTTGGCCATTCTATATCTGGTGGTCTGAAGTACAAACTAGACCAGGGGTCCTCAAACTTTTAAAACAGGGAGCCAATTCATGGTCCCTCAGACTGTTGGGGGGCCAGACTGGCTGGGAGGGTGTGGCTAGGTGGTCATGTGACTGTGTGGGCAGGGCCAATTTAGCAGTCCATTAAACAATACACACAAATTAAACTTTAATTTGTTATGCTCCTGGGGGTAGAAATCATGTTAGTGAATGGATGTGGCTGCCTTGGGGGGGGGATGAGGGACTCTGTGTGTGTGTGTGTGTGTGTGTGTGTGTGTGTGTTTGTGTTTTTTTTCCTCTCTCCCTCTCCCTTTTTCTCTGGAGGCCAGGGAAGCCAAAAATGAGCCCGTTTTTGGCCTCCTGAGGCCTCTGCGCATCCCATTTTTGGTCTCCTCAGCTTCCAGAAGGCAGGTGGGGGCCAGCGGGTAGGTGGAGCGGTGTGGGTGGAGCAGCCTCATGGTCCAGCATGGGTTGGATTAATGGCTTTGGTGGGCCATTAATCCCTGGGCTGTAGTCTGAGGACCCCTGAACTAGACTATGTAACAAATATTGTCAACAGACACTGCTTAAGAGAAGGTGGAGACCATATGTGCTCCTGGAGTTTTGGTATGGTTTCCAGCCTTCTCCTTCTCCTCCTCCTCCTGCTCAACTTTCCCTAATTATAAGTTTAAAATAAATATAATAGTTTTAAGATGTATGGCTCAGTGTGATAAACTTAGAAGATCTTGGAGAAGACATAGCAAAGAGAGATTTTAAAATAGACAAATTTGCTCTGGTATGTTATAGGTATAAACAGCAATGTTTTGGAATCTTATCTCAGGGTAAAATCTTGCCAGGACATTTAGCAATATTATGCAGTTGTAAGAAGTACAACATGTTCTATGGCAGCATAACAGAGAACATATTAAATTATAGCATGTGTTTTAACAGACAAAGATTCCACTATAATTTTTAATAGAGATTTTAACATAAAAATAATTAGTCTGTAGTAAATTTGCTAGAATTTGAAATGCTTAGGTACACGTTACTATTTTCATAATGGCAGAATCTAAAGGGCAGTAAGCCTACTAGCCGTTATAGTTATTTTTATTTTCAGCTTTATCTATTGCTTTCTTGAGTTATAACCAAGATTGTCTTCTCTGCAAACAATCACAATACAGGTAGTCCTTGACTTACAACAGTTCATTTAGTGACCATTCAAAGTTAAAATGGCACTGAAAAAAGTGACTTATGACCATTTTTCACACATACAGCCATTGTAGCATCTCCATAGTCATATGGTCAAAATTCAGACCCTTGGCAACAGACTCCTATTTATGATGGTAGCAGTGTTCTGAGGTCATGTGATCAACCTTTTGTGACCTTCTGACAAGCAAAGTCAATGGGGAAGTCAGATTCACTTACGAACTGTATAACTAACTTAACAACTGCAGTGATTCACTTGATAACTGTAGCAAAAAAGATTGTAAAATGGGGCAAAATTCACTTAACTGTCTCGCTTAGCAACATAAATTTTGGGCTCAGTTGTGGTTGTAAGTTGAGGATGACGTGCATAAGAAATGCATGGAAAAAAAAAGAAAGAAATCCCCTCCCCTCAATCAGAATATCCCGCCTAAACTTCCCAAAATGTTCTAACAAATTTAAGTGGATTAGATGTTACTTACCTTTCTTGCAAAATAAGTTTATTTTCTTTTTTCCAAAATTCTTTAAAATCAGAACTGAATTCATGCCATATGCTGAAGAAAGCATTCAAGGAAACCTCCTTTTCACCCATTTTTGGTTTCATGCAGAAATATGCTGCAGTCTCCAAAAAGCTAGCAAAGGAAACAAAGACGGCAACTATTTATTTAACATTATTTTATCTGCTTTTCTCATACAAAGATGATATTTTTTACAAATTACTTGATAGTTATCTAGAAAACATTCACGATTCCTTCATCTTCATAATCAGCTTTAGGAAAGGTAAAGACTGATATTTAGTATGTGAAAGAAAAATTGCATTGAAAAACTGCATTGGACCAGTTTTTAAAACCAAGAAAATCAAGATTGCTATTACCATTCACACATCACTTTTTCATACCAAATCAATCCTTTTACAATGTATGTCATGCTTAATGTTATGATTTTTAGGGAAATTTTAATTCATGGCTAGTACAACAAAGGCACCATGTATGCTTTTATCTGGCTGCCTGTTCCACCTGATGTTTTTAAAAAACCAATTAAAAAAATAAATAAAAAAGACAGTCACACAGGATAGCAAAGCATCACTGACCAACAAGGTAAGCAATGATGTGTGGGGAAAAATATTATCTATGAATGGCTGGCTATATTTTGTGCCTATATGCAATATTTGTTGCCTGTATAGAATAGAATTCTTTATCGGCCAAGTGTGATTGGACACATAAGGGCTTTTTTTAATTTGGTTTGTGGTTTTTTTGGTTTATATATTTGTATATTTGTTGCTTGTAAAAACACGTTAGGTTTTTTTCTCTATGAAAATATTATTTTGTTAATGTTGTAGATATGAGCATGAGAAAAACTCAGATCCCACCTTTACTTTCTACTTTTATTCTTGAGCAACCTACTGTTTTGCTTTGTTTTTTGTGTTACCCATTTGTCTGCTAGTCAATGAATTCTTCATCAGTGACAAAACCACCATGGTGGCCACTGTTGAGAATGAGCTAGACCCCTCCTTTATGTCAGCTATTTTATGAATGAATGCACAACACGCCCTTGGCATTCCAAATATGGCCACCAGCCTTAAAAATTGAGGATTGCTGAACAGTTGTATTGTTCTTACAAATTAAAGATATGACACAGTGGTTGGCAGTCAAATCAAACTGTCCCCAAAACAATTACGAAATAGCCCTTGTTCTAGAAAATTGTATTAAAGTAGACCTTAAGGAAGACATTTTTCTTTGTTCCTTTTGTTGTAATCTGATAGCTGGCAGATTTACACAGAATAAAACTTGGTCAAAGGGGGAGCCTTGATTTATGACAGGTGAAAACAACCCTTCTCCCAGACTGAGTCAAACTCATGGGAATGGACAATATTCTTTTCAAAGACACTGCAATCAGTATGCAGTCCCCAAAGGTGCTTTTTTCAAGAGGCAACTGGCTGAAGAAGCTTCTTGGATGAGAAGTGAAATGTCTTCAAAGAAAAACAAGAAAGTCCAGTTGTCTCTTGAAAAAAGCACCTTTGGGACAACCATGACCTGGATGACTATGGATTGTCTCCATAGACAATCAGTATGCAGCTCATTCAGAAAGAGGAAGCACTAAATATCACCAAATTCTCCCACAAATGCCTTAGGTTTCTCCAGACTTCACGTATTTTCTATACACCACTGTATAGGTAGCAACTGGAACTACCTAGGAATGATATGGTAGGGCCACAGAACAACATTACATTTACCCAAGGATATATAAGATTAAAAGCATCACATTCAAAGCAGCCCCTCCAGGCTCTACGTTTATATATAAGATAACAATAAACCATAATTCTCCATCTCAAGCCTTTTCAACAATTGAGAAGCCAGAGTAGATTGAAATTCTCACAAATAAATGCTTGATGAGTTTGATAAATAGCACTAACGTTTACCGGAGACATGAAAGCTTTTGTTAAGAATACTATGTGATCAAAGAGGGTAAAAGGCAGGCTTTTGCACAGATCACTGCTAATCTTGCTGGGAACCAAGAGAAAGCTGATTCAGACACACGGAGACATTTAACTGCCAACGGAATTCCTTTATCTAAACAGCTACAAGAAATAATCAAGTCCTCAGCTGGGTCACTTCTGCAAAAGTGAGCTTGTTTGTAAGATGCAAAACATCAGACACTGGAACACTGTCAAAAATAATACACAAATATCGTTTATATACAAATATGGAGTCTAGGGATTGGAATACAAGAAGGCTTAGAAGCAGGGTTCCTGAGGAATTAAGTTGTTTATCAAGTGAGCACAGCAACTTGCATTTAGAGTAATCACCTCCATTTGTTCTGAGAAAGTTTCCCATATATGGTGATTAAACCAACTCCACAGCATTCATTTATTAAAAAAGAAAGAAAGAAAAAGAAAACAGACAAGTGAATGCAAGGTTTAGTACACTATCACCCCTGTCTTCTCAACAGCTAGTTCTGATATATAGAGAGTGAAAATATCTGAACACTGAATTTGAAGGGAAATAGATTTGGTTCTTTTTAAAATAAGCTGCTAATATTTTAAAATAAATTTGTATAGCTAGAGAAGAATTCTGCACCGTTATGAACAATATTTTAATTCATAATCTATGCATTCTGAGCAAGAACTTTACCAAGGTTAATAACTTCAAGATATAAAGTTTCTATTGCTAACTAGATTAAGAATGCTAATTTTCCCATGTAAATTTACATGTATAATGCGGGGTAATCTTTTAGCAAACAATTCAGGATTAGTTTTAGGCAGAGCTGCAGATGAACTGTGATCAATTCCAAAGGCTGCTAACAAAACTTCAGAAAAACAAATGTATTTAAAATGACACTTCCTAAGTTTTGTTGCAGTTATATCAAGCTATTTCTCCAAGTTTGGTGCAGAAACAATTGGCAGCCGTAAGTTTTTTTTTTTACTTTGACTTTTTGCTATGATCTAACTTATTTTTTCCTTCTGTATCTATCTCTACCTCTGTCTGTCTTAATGTCAGGTTTAAGTTTTGGAAAATTGGAAAATTGTTTATTTTACTTAATAGTTAATTTTACTGTTTTGCTGTTTTGGAAGGCTTTTTTAAAGCTTAAAAAGCAGGGTAGAAATGTTTTTAACAAATATAGGATGCAGAGTAAGACACAAGTTTTCAGAAGCTATTTTCAGATAGCTTCAAAGGCTATTTTATTATCGTCCTGCTTGTACATTGAGGTGTTTCTTTCTCACAGCTCTGTAAAACCCCAAACCTATTTTAAAGGATCCTATCCTTTCTAGGCATGCCTTGTCTTCCTATGAGTCTTGCAGTGAATAAAAGAATCTGTCCTGTGAATTCCTGGATGTTGTACTGCTGGCAGGTGGGCAAACTGAAAGCAACTGAAAGTTTAGAAACTCATTAAACTAGGAATGTATTGAGGAGCAATCGATCAAAGGAAGTCCACTTAAACAAAGAGATTTCTGACAACAACACAAGCGTTAAGGGGGGGGGACCTTAAAGTAAGGCAAACTAAAAAAAATGGCAATATTTTATTGCTATCACATTTCTTATACTAAACTAAGCTTGTGAAGGTTGTAAGATAAAAATGGAAACAGAGCATCTCCTATTTACCGACTGGAGCGAATGCTCAATAAATAAATCCTTAAAAGGCAAAGAGGAGGACAAAACCAGGGTCAATGATTTCCCAAGTACAAGGGCTGGACATAGAAAACTGCTGAAGTGTATGCTAGGAGGGTGTAAAAAGTGGTGTAATTAGAGGAAAAACCTGCCAGCCAAAACTCCACAGTTCTCGTCATGGGTTTGCTAATTACATTCTTGTCCCTTTGGTGAGGACACTTCCTAATGAAGAGCAGTCTTTGCAAAGCTAACGCAGGAGGTTGAAAGCTCTTAGCTTAGATGCTTATCTTGAGGGTTAGAACGCTGTACCTATGTTTCCACCACTAACACAGAAGGTGGGGGAGGTCACTGTTGGGGATTAATAGAAGCAGCAAAGGTCAGGAGCTTTGCTTCAGCTAGCATGACTTTTCAATCCTGCTTAGGAAAACGAGCCTTTAGTTGTTCACACTGCTATTTTGTTTATGGAGGGCAGAGGCTAAATATCTCCTGCCAGGATTTCCAAGCAGCTCAGATCCCCCATATTCAAGACAGAGATATTCCTTAATAAAGATAAAGTGCCTGGATATTTGCTTTTTATGGTTTCAATTCCAGAACAATTAGTGGAACAAAATGCAGCAGAATCAAACAGGATGATTTTTACTCCCCCAGGAAAACAAGGGTGGAAGAGATTCTACTAACAACACTTCAGGTACTGTACACAAGTGCAAGAGGATTATTTTGTGCCAAAATAGATCAAAAGGCAATGCTAAGGGAATATCTTGGCTTGGACTTGTTTTTTTTTCCAGGTTCTAGATCCTTGCCCACAGAATTTTAAACAATAAAAAGGTAACGGTAAAGGTTCCCCTCGCACATATGTGCTAGTCGTTCCCGACTTTAGGGGGTGGTGCTCATCTCCATTTCAAAGCCGAAGAGCCAGTGCTGTCCAAAGACGTCTCCATGGTCATGTGGCCAGCATGTCTAAATGCCAAAGGCTTACGGAATGCTGTTACCTTCCCATCAAAGGTGGTCCCTATTTTTCTACTTGCATTTTTTATGTGCTTTTGAACTGCTATGTTGGCAGAAGCTGGGGCAAGTAATGGAAGGTCACCCTGTTACACAGCACTAGGGATTCAAGCCGCTGAACTGACGATCTTTTGATCGACAAGCTCAGCATCTTAGCCACTGAGCCACCGCATCCCTATAAAAATCCCCAAATTCTCATGTAAAGGTGGCAATTTCTTACTGAAATGTTGTTATATGCCACTTGGGAATGCTGTACTCATAGGGAAATATCTGAATTTCAGAGGAACTGCATTTTAAGGTATATGGGATATCCAGTACCTAAAAGCACTCTATTGATCCCCGAGAAATGCATTTCATTACTTGGTTACCATCACAGGAAGACCCTATATCGATCTGCCTAATCCATGAAGATATGGGACATCTTAAGCAAGGCCTAAAAGTATATTTTTTAAAAATGTGAATGATTCATTTTTTGTGCACGATTTTTGCTGATGTTAAGCAGAGAGTTTAGATGTGAACTTTTT